GCGCGTGCTTCAAAGGCTGCCAGAAGTGATGAAGATTGTTGGAAGAAGTAACCGACCCTCAGAGACCACCACCACAATTCTGTACCCATGCGGGGAACTCTCTGGAAAATGATGTAATCCATACGTAGCCTCATGAATATGTATGTATGCCCAGGGACTATATAAGGGTGGCTTGTATAGCAGTACGGAGACACACGTTAGGAGGATTTATCCCCCGTGTCTCCCGGCGCCGCAATAAAGAATACCTGCTTGTCAGCTTGAAAACTTTGTTGGCAAGTTTGTTCCTGGAGTTTTCTCCGAATCAGCAGGCACAAGGCACACAGAGCCTCTTACAACAGCACAGAAGTAGGGACCCCTAAAGGGCTGGATAAACCCAGAGGCACCCCCAGATTACACCAGGTGAAGCTGAGCCCACAAAGCCCCTCGCTAACATCTAATACAGTGGGATACTGGGTGCAAAGGCAGAGCTGCAGGCTGGGAGGACTCAGGTGCACAAGGCACCTGCAGCAAGGGGACACAGGGCTCCCCCCCCAAGCGATGTGGCAGCAATTCCACCTTCATGGGGCTGCTCATGGTGGCAGCAGAGTTGATGCAACATCAGAAGAGCATGACAAATAAACTACACACCTTGAACCTGGGGGGGCGGAGAGGCCCTCCAACAAAAGGGAGAGGGAGGACAGGGGATGCAGAGAAGAGTGTCACGGTTTAAGCCCAGCCAGCAACCCAGAACCATGCAGCCGCTCACTCACTTCCCCCCACTTCCTTCCCCCACTCCCAGAGGGATGGGGAGGAGAAAGGAAAGAATGTAACTCCCATAGGTTGAGGTAAGAACAGTCCAGTAACTAAGGTATAACATAAAAACGCTGCTCCTACCACCAATAATAATAAGAGAAATAACAAGGGAAGAGAATACAGACGCTCACCACCCGCTGACCAATACCCAGCCCGACCTGAGCAGTGACCTAGCCCTTCCTGGTAACTGCCCCCAATTTATATACTGGGCATGACATGCTGTGGTATGGAATACCCCTTTGGCTAATTTGGGTCAGGTGTCCTGTCTCTGCTTCCTCCCATCTTCCACTCCTCCCTGGCAGAGCATAAGACTCAGAAAGTCCCTGGTCAGAGTAAACATTACTTAGCAACAACTAAAACCACTGGTGTTATCAGTGTTGTTCCCAGGCTGAAAGTCAAAATCACAGCACTGCATCAGCTACTGAGAAGGAGAAAAATAACTGCTACTGCTGAACCCAGGACAGCATCCACCCCTTATTCCATACCATTTATGTCATGCTCAGATCCCACATTTTTCAGTATACTATCACTCTTGTCTTATATATATATATACACACATCCACAGACACACAAAGAGATTTTTTGTGTCACCACAAAATCTGTTTCTCAAGGCCCAGGATAGTGTTCCGGGCAGTGGCGTGGGGCACAGCGTATGTTTCTGGCCATCTAGTAGTTGCTTCCACATGGTGCTTGCCTTGGCGGGTTGGTGGGAGTGTGATATAATCAATCTGCCAGGCTGTCCTGGGTTTAGCAGCGGCAGTCATTTTTTCTCCTTCTTGGTAGCTGGCGCAGTGCTGTGTTTTGGCTTTCGGGCTGGGAACAAAGCTGATGAAAATGATGTTTTGGTTTGGCCAAGGACTTTGTGAGCCTCATGCTCTGCCAGGGAGGAGGGGAAGCCGGGAGAAGGCAGAGACAGAACACCTGACCCAAACTGACCAAGGAGGTATTCCATACCACAGCACATCATGCCCCGGGAGAACTGGGAGTGGCCGGAAGGACGGGGGTGGGGGGTCGCCCGGGTCGGACTCGTTTCTCGGTGCGTGGTATTGTGCTCCTTTCCCTTGCTATTTTCTCTTATCATTGTTGTCGTTGGTGGTAGCAGTGGTGATTTGTATTGTACATTAGTTGCTAGACTGTTCTTATCTCAGCCCGTGGGAGTTGCATTCTTTCGATTCTCCTCCCCATCCCTCTGGGAGCGGGCTGGGAACATAAGCCAGATAAGTTTCATAATCAATAATTCCATTGTGTTACAAGTCATTACCATAAAGTACAATGAGACAAGAACTTTAGCCCAAGCCCCACACTTGAAAAACACTAATACAGCAAATACCAGATCTAAGTAAGTTACAACATTCTGAAGCTGTGAGATCAAGAGGAACAACCTTGAGAGCCAATAAATCAGCATTGTGACGAGTGACTATTAATCCGGTCAGATCTGTTGTTATCTCAACCCCTTCGTGCCCCACGTTGGGCGCCAAAAATAACTGTCGTGGTTTAACCCCAGCCAGACAACTTGTGCACTTACTCCCAGTGAGTGGTGCCAGGCTGGAAGCAATCGAGGCCCACGTTAGTCCCCCCCCCCTTCCCCAGGGGCTGCCCCCCCTTCCCCGCTCCCAGAGGGATGGGGAGGAGAATCGAAAGAATGCAACTCCCACGGGCTGAGATAAGAACAGTCTAGCAGCTAATGTACAATACGAATCACCACCGCTACCACCAACGACAACAATGATAAGAGAAAATAGCAAGGGAAAGGAGCACAATACCACGCGCCGAACCACGATTCCAACCCGGCAGACCCCCCATCCTTCCGGCCACACCCAGTTCCCCCCTGGGCATGACGTGCTGTGGTATGGAATACCTCCTTGGTCAGTTTGGGTCAGGTGTCCTGTCTCCGCCTCCTCCTGGCTTCCCCTCCTCCCTGGCAGAGCATGAGGCTCACAAAGTCCCTGGCCAAACCAAAACATCATTTTTATCAGCTTTGTTCCCAGCCCGAAAGCCAAAACACAGCACTGCACCAGCTACCAAGGAGAAAAAATGACTGCCGCTGCTAAATCCAGGACACAGGCCTCCCGATATTCATACTTCAGCCACCGTCCTCCGTACCAAAGAGGCTTTAAGCACTTGGCTTGTTTACTTGCAGCACATATTTCACATTTGTGAATGACCTGGGCAATAGTGTCCATTGTTAAATCCACCCCTTGATCATGAGCTCATCTATATGTTGCATCTCTGCCCTCATGGCCTTCCGTCTCTGATGCTTCCAAAGCACTGGAGGGGCCCACTGGACTAGATACTTGCCCATATGACCCCACACACCCTGACATTCATGACTGTCCATCCTCGAGGAAAATCTGTTGGTGGTCTTCCTACATCGTCATTTAACCCTAGACAAGACCCAAGCCAGATCCTGCTTAGCTTCCATGATCAGACAAGATCGAGTGTTCTCAGGGTGGTCATACCATAGGCAAAACATAGAGAGCATATGCAGCAACAAGCTGGTTCCCAGCAAGAAGAGCAGGGTGCTTTCAAGGGCATTGAAAGGATATTCAGGATCTTTAACTCTTCCAGAATATACTCCCACTGCAAATAGCCTGGTGGGGGAGCAGAGGGTGTGAGGGAATGTCTCCTTCATAGGTTGACCACCCGAGGAAAGGAAAAAGAAAGATGTGTAATTGTTAAAAAATTCCATTACATGCCTCCCAAAGTATAGAGGTAATGGCCATGCTGAGAACTCATTCTAGCCCAGTTTCATGATCAATGAGTCTATTGTATTACAAGTCATTACCATAAAGTACAGTGAAACAAGAACCTTAGCCCAGCCCCCAGCCCATAAACACTAAAACAGCAAATACCAGCTGTAAGTAAGGTACAACATGCTGAAACTCCAAGATCAACAGTAACAACTCTGAGGATCAATAAATCAGCATTGTGATGAGTGACTATTAATCCAAAACAATGAATGCTTATCACAAATAGGATTAGACACACTCCGGTCAGATCTGTTGTTATCTCAACCCTTCCAGCCCCACATTGGGCGCCACAAAGAACTGTCATGGTTTAAGCCCAGTTGGCAACCCAGAATCATGCAGCCACTTGCTCACTTCCCCTCTCCCCTTCTTCCTCCCCCTGCTCCTGGAGGGATAAGAGGGAGAATCGAAAGAATTTAACTCCCAAGGGTTGAGATAAGAACAGTCCAGTAACTAAGGTATAACACAAAACCACTGCTCCTACCACCAATAATAATAATGATAAGGGAAATAACAAGGGAAGAGAATACAACTGCTCACCACCCCCTGACTGATACCCAGCCTGACCAAAGCAGTGACCTAGCCCTTCCTGGTAACTGCCCCCAATTTATATACTGGGCATGACATGCTGTGGTATGGAATACCCCTTTGGCTAGTTTGGGTCAGATGTCCTGTCTGCTTCCTCCCGGCTTCCCCTCCTCCCTGGCAGAGCATGAGACTCAGAAAGTCCTTGGTCAGAGTGAACATTACTTAGCAACAACTAAAACCACTGGTGTTATCAGTGTTGTTCCCAGGCTGAAAGTCAAAACCACAGCACTGCATCAGCTACTGAGAAGGAGAAAAATGACTGCTACTGCTGAACCCAGAACATAGAGAAAGGAAGAAGTGGTTGTCAAAATACTTTATTTCAGGGAGATCCCTCAAAGAAAAAAAAAAAAAAAGAAAAAGAAAAAGAAAAGATGTATGTGTGTGGGGGGAACCAAGAGGAAAGGGAGGGTCCCTTGTTAGACAGACATGCCCCCAGCATCCTCAGGGCTCCTCTTGAATCAACTAAGACATTCTGCTGCTTAAAATAAGCATAGGCCAAAAATAAGATTGGCCATTTTCCCAATGAGACTTCAGTAAAGAATGCGTGTGTGTGCATATATATATATATGTATATTTGTTCCTGGGGGGGAGAAGGTGATGTTGCCAGCAGTTCACAGCAGTTTTTGGCTCTCTCATTACAGAGTGTATAGAACCGCGTTGCTGAAGACACTTGATACAGCAGGGCTAACTAGGAGAATACAACACAAGGCTAGCAAAGAGGAGAGAGGGCAGAGAGAAAGGGGGAGGGGGCTGAAGTCCTCTGTGCATAATTTACATGGAACATCTCATGGAGTGAGTCATTGCAGGTATCTCAGCTGACCAAACTTCAATCTGTTTTTTGTGTTTGTGGTGTTTTTTGTGTGGGTTTGGTTGTTTGTTTGTTTTTAAAGAATTGCAGCCAAAACAAGACAGAACTGCAAAATCCCAAAGTGGCTGCTTTGACACTCTTTTTAAAAAAAATGAACAGTCACTCAGGGGCACTTCCCGCTATACTTTCCCCGGGATTTTGGCCCGCTTGCGAGCGATGGCATCTTCCACTGCCTTGAGCTGCTTCAGGAGCTCCTCTCGTCGGGACAGGGTGCTGGATTTGCCTGCATTGGCACCCATGTTGCCTGGCTCTGATGCTTTGCCTGGTACGCTTGTGACTTTGCTGGAGCTCTTGGACTGAGGTGAGAGATGGCGCTTCCTGGAAGGGAGAGATTGAAGAAGGTGGTGAGAGGGAGCAGCACACTATGCTGGAAACAAACCCTATCACTGTCTGCTCCAGCAGGAAGCATCTCTAAGCACTGGTGGAAGAAAACAGGTTTGAGACACGAGACCTTTGTTTGGAAAAGTGGCTGAAACAGTAAAAGATCAGCTGCTCTAGGGGGATCCCGAGATTTAAAATCAGCTCACAAAGGCTGTTGTGAGCAGCTCACTGGGGGTTGTGCATGTGCAAGGGAGCTTGCAGGGACACAAGGGAAGAGGGGAGAGCAGCACAGGTTAGTGCAGGGCAGACCTGGAGCATCCCCGCTGTCTCAGATCCCAACAGCCTCTGCCCTGGTGTGGATTTCAGAGTTGTGGGGAGCTCACAAGCACCCAGCACTGCACTTCAAGTCTACAATGACCCTGCATGGGGAAGACAGGAGCCACCAGTCGCCGTTGCTGGCAGCGGTGGCTTTTCCTGGATTGGGTAATGACTGGGGCTGGAGGAAAGTGGCCTGTGTCTCTTTCCACCACAGGCCACTACTTCCCCTCTTGGGTGGAGAAGTATGACAGGATGGGGAAGCAGAGAAGCATCATGAGCCTGCCAGGGCTTTGCAGTGCCACCAGCTTGGTGACACAGAGAGAACAGTGCGAGCCTTGGCTGGTTCTAATGACTTGGATCATTTGGGAAAGCTTTTACTGCTGCTGCCAGATGTCAGCAGTAGGAATCACCATCCCCTCTGTTAGTACCAGCTGCACCCTTTCATATTACACTTAAGAGAAGCATGGCTGTGCAAGCATGACCCAAACAGCCCCAAGCAGTAACAAGACACAGACCTACACTTGGGACTCCCTAGAGAAGCCCAATGTGTCCCTAACTACCCTCATGCCTGGGCACAGGGCACGTCAAACCCACCATGTGACAGTGCCAACCCAAACAGCAGTAGGCAGAAGAGGGTCAAGAACCAAGGATGTGGTCAACATCACCAGTCAGGTTTCTCTTCACTGCTAGAAAACAGGACCTCAGGGCCTGACAGAGGACAGAGCAAACCAGGGCTAGGTTTTGGTTTAGGAAGACTCATACACAGAACTTGAGGCTCACTTATGCCCCAGGCTGGAAAAAGGGGATGATGCAAGTCCCACCTGCCAAGGAACATGGGGGTGTAGGACAGGGCTGCATCCATTTGCTCATAGATCCTTGGAGAGATGACAGCAGAGAAATGCAAAGCAGCACCATCTGGCTACAGGCAAGGAAGACCAAGAAAGCTTTAGGTGTGCTGCAGAAGGTGCTCCACAACCCTTTAGCCAAAGGGCTCTGAGTGGAGCAAAGCCCAGGGCCCCTGGAGCCACACATCCAGTTCTGTAAAAGGATATTTGTAGCACAGCAGTGGGTGCAGGCTACCAAGAAATCAGACACAAGCTGAACACCCATCACCAGAGGGAATGGGAAGGTACAAAGCTAGGGCTAGTCACCAGTCTCATGCAGGGGCCACATTTTAACATCTCACAGCAGCAAAGTTAGCAGATGAGAGTACGACAGGCTATAGAAGAAAGGGAATTGGACACCTGAGCCAGATGCCACAGGAAGCTTAGCAGCAGGAGGAAGGGGTTGTACTTTCTTTCTCATTAGCACTATGCAGTGCTAGCAAGAGGCAGAGGCAGTGGCATGACTGATCTTGCACCTAACCCAGTTGGCTACTCTTTCTGGGACTGACCTCAAGAAAACTCCCAGTCTCTTGCTCATTTCTGAGCTGGAATGGCTTAGCTGGTGGCTTCCACATGAACCCCATGGCACCTCTGGCTCCCACCCAGGGAGCTTGGCATCCTTCCTCTTGTGCCTCCATAGCAACTGGAAACTATGGCTAGAGAGCCTCAGAGCTGCCCCGAGATGAGGGGCTGAACTGCTGGAGAAGCATGAGCCCCAGCCTGGCCCACCAGAGACACATGAGAACAAGTGGGCACTGACCTGTCTGTCTGCACAGGAGAAGGTTTCGGGTTCTGGCCCCTTTGCCGTTCTTCCTTGGGTGAAGAGAGTCTCCCAGTTGCCTTCCTGTCACGAGAGCCTACTGGGAGGAGAAAAGTTGAGACACTCTCACTCATTGCCAAGGTACAGCTCTCTACCCTGCCTACTGCACCACCTCAGCAGTGTACAGCTGTTCTCTTGAGACTGACCACAACAGGCGAAGTCCACCAGCAGCCAGAAAACAAACCTACTGCTGTGCACCCCATCTTCAGGGGAAGCAGGTAAGCTAGTCAAGTCTGTGCCCCATGGTCAGCTGTACAAAACAGCACCTACAGGGAGCTGCACTGGTCCTCTCCTCACCCTCTGGCTGCTGGAACAAGGCTGCTCCACAGTGCTTTTAGGCTCACAAACCTGCAGGGCAGGGCCAGCCCTCAGACCGAGTCAGTGCTCCATTCTGCACAATGGGCACAGCAGCACTTGAGCTGGCTCCAGGCTGGCCAGGTAACAGGGTGTATTGGCTTCAAGAGTGCTGGGCAAGTGAGCTCTGCTGCTTTTGGAGCCAGCTAGGGCAAATCCACAGGCAGCATCACCCCAGTGTTTGTTCAGCGCAGACTGAACTGTTGTGCCCTGCCCAAATGGAGCTGCCATGGGGACTCATTGGCAGCAGGAAGCCCATTGGGGTCCTGCAGCTGCATTACCCAGCTTTGCTGCAGTGGGTTTCCCAACCACTGCTATCCCAGTACACATAGAGGCAACCACAGCTGGAAGGCAGCCTGTTTGTTTGCCTGCAGGGCTGTCTGTGAGTTCCATGAATAAGTTGAGCAGCACACCCTGCCATACTGCACTGGGACAGTGATGCTGGTGGCTGCTGACCTTGCATTCAGTTGCACTCCAGAGAGCAAAGGTACCCAGTTCCTCATAGCAGTGGCTACTTTTGTGTGTTAGGACAGCCCCCTGCTCTTAAGCACTGATATGAGGAGAAATCCATGGCTGCAGACACTGCAGATCTGATCACTGCAAGGTTACAGAACAGGGAAGCAAGACTCAGGGCACAAACTGTTCAGCTTTGTGCTGGGACACCAGCACAAGCTGCACGCTGGAAGGTGCTTCTTGCTCAGTTACAATTCAGTCAAGGGTACACTTGCCACTGGGAGATGAGGCTGAGCTGCCTTCAGAGCTTGTGTACCACTTGATACTGCTTAAAAACACTTTACAACATACAGACAACAAATAAAGTATATAATTACATCTACATCCGTGTATCTATAAAATCAGCACAGTTTGCTAGGTCAGCCCCTTCATTTGTCTGCATCTCAGCACTAGTTGTGAACTAGAACCCAGTGAACTTAAACCTCACCCAGTCCCTTCCATGCTGCTTTTGCAGGAGTTGAATTAAACCAGACTATTAGCACAGAATTTTTTTCTGGCTGGCACCCAGAGTCAGTAAGATACCTGCTGAGATAACAGGGAAAACAACATCATGTGTCAATGCTGGCTTGTACATCAACACCAGGCACCTCTGGCTAACAACTTGATTTTCAGTAGTGATAGCAAAGGCTGGAGCGTGGCAGTTAGGTCCCTCTCAATGTAGCTCACTAGCTCAGTTTTCCAAGGTGCTAATTCTGATGATGATGATTCAGACACAGGAGAACACTTGGAAAGCTTGTGTCTTTCTAAACATACAGGGCAGATCAGATTGTGTCACATACAGGTGGGAAAATCACCTCATTTCATAGGATAGATGATCAAGCCAATTAGTGCATCCATCCTGGAGCCTTGGCAGCTCGTGCTCCCTTTCTAAGCACTGCCACAAGCCTTTCTATCAGGAAGACTAAGATCCATTGTGATGCACTGAAATACGAGGCACAGAAGACTCCAGGATACAGTAAGGGAAAACCCTCTGACTTCCACAGCCACATCTAACAACATTATTAAAGAACAGGAGTCTGCTGTGGGATGGATGCGTTACCTACAGCAGAGATGTGCACACTGTAACTTCAAAGGGAGGGCTTTTTGCACTGGACTTACACAGACATTGTGGAGCCAAGGCACTTGCAAAGTGCATCACAAAGCAGCTAGGCAAGGCCAGGTTTGGCTGCCTAGGACTGACCTCACCTCGCTTACTTCACAAACCAGAGTGTCTCACCTCCACCATGTTTTTGCAGCAAGACAACTAATACACCCACGTAATCTGGTGGCAATCACACCTTCTGAGGTTTTGGAAGGACACATGCCTGCAATTAACCTTTGCAGGTTAATTGACTCTTGCAGCAGAGACTTTCACAGGACATTTGTCACAATTGCACTACCTCGAGCAGTAGAGCAGGAACCCAGGCAGGCCAGGAGCCCCTGGGATGGCTGATGTCTCACCTCTGTCAGGCGACAGGTTCACCCGCTTGGCTGGAGGAGAAGTTGGCCTGTTTTTGTCTGCTGGCTCATATCTTTTCCTGCTTCCTTTGTCAGCTGCCTAAAATGAAATTAAAACAGACAACGGAGCTGAGTAGCTACTTCCCTCTGGGAAGGGAAGCAGGCAGAGATATTTCCTGTGATGGGTGCCCATGATGTACTTGCTGGCTCATGCAAGTGTGTTGCCAATTAAATGTTTTGTGCATACCAGTCTCAACCATCACTGGCACCACGTAATTCCCCTAGCACTGTAAGAAAACAGCAACATTCTCTGGCACTAGGGCTATTTTCATAATGGTCATAAACAAAAAATATCAGCATTTTGTAGAGTATTTTTTCCAGCAGCACCAAGGATAGCAAATGTCAAGGAGGCATGTAGAGTTGTGCCTTCTTCCAGGATCCAACCCTGCCAGGTGGTAGTTATGTTTCATGGCACACTTCTCCCCATGGAGCATGCTTCACAGACTTGATAAAGGCTCCTCATGTCATAGCACAGGGAAGTAGAGAAAACTGCAGCCTTAGACTGCAATGGGGAATTTAGACTTAAAAAAAAACAAACATTAATGCTTCAATACTAGGAACCTACCCATGTGACTGGGGCCAACACCCTGCTCCAGCATAAAACTCCACGAGGCCAAACTCTCCCACATGATCTGGACTGCAATCTCAGCCAAAGGCACTAAACTGGGACATCAGCCGTAAGGGGAAATGAGCCAGGCTTCCTGCAGAAAGTGTGAGCACCTCAGAGAGGAGAGGCAATCACCACTTTTACCTCCTGACTCAGTTAATGACTTGTCAGCAGCTCGCTCTGGAGTGGGCAGTGGGAGGAGAGCTCACTATGAAGCATGCAGGAACCATGCTTTCAGCAGGCACATATGGGATTGCACCATGCACGCCTTCACCTCCGTGCTCCAGCTGCAGCCTTTGAGAAAGTGGGTAAGAGCCCTTGAAGCTGCAGCAGGAATGTGCCCCAGGGGAGCCTCCAACACAGTCCCACCACAGGGTGTGTGCTGCCAGACTGGTTCTGTCTGCTGCCCTTCAATCCCAGCTGCAGACCTACCTGGCTGAGCTCATTCCAACAGTGTGGAGCCTGGAGCATCAACTCTGCCAGCTCCAAGCCCCAATATCCATCCCATCTGCTCCTTGGATCCCTGAATAGAGGGAATCGCAGCCATCCCACCTCTCACCTTATTCAAAAGAGTCAGTTTGATCTCTTTGTGAGTGCTGAAGCCTCCCTGCTGAGACTGGGGGGCTGATGGCTCCTGGGTCTGGAGGAGCTGCTGTGATTTGCTCCCTTGGGTGGGCTTGGCTGATTTCAGGAGCTGAGTGGGCACATCCCATTTCTGCTTCTCCTCTTTAGTGCTATCTTCTTTTTTTGACTTTCCTGTTGAAACCAGAGAGCAAGTGTAGTGACTTGTGGCTGGTTTCCTTTTGCCTGCCCTCCCTTTGGAGGGCAGGACAAGAGGATGCTGCTCTGGGGACTGAAAAAGTCCACATAACTTAGCACAGCACATGGCCCCAAGGTTAAAAGATTCAGGAAATCTACAGAGAGGCCACTTAACATAAAAGACAAAGAACAAAAGGCTCTTGCTGCCAACTCTGCCACAGTTCAAAAAGAACAGAGGAGGAGCAACAAGATACTGGAGTTATACAGAAGATTTAGTTTTACCTCACAAGGGTGAAAGAGAACAAGGTAAGAAAGGGGACATCAGGCAGAACTCCCAGGCAGGAAAAAGCATCTTTACAGCCAGAGACACATGGATGGAAGGATGCAAATGTATATTTGCTTCAAAGCCTCCCTCCTCCACACTCTTACCCTCCTCAGATGAAGCCTCTGGACAACCCTACTCTATGCCAGCCACAAGTGTCAGCCTGTGCTCAACAATCTTCTTGGAGCCCATAGTACCACCAAGCAAGCTGTATGCAGGTCTCTGCTCCTCCCCTTCTTTTCCCAGGACCCCTCAGAGAAGAACATTCCAAACCAGGTACCTCTACCTTTCTTCTGCTGTGCTGGGGTTGGGGATTGGGAGCTGGCTGAAGACACAGGACTGGCCAAATCTGCATACATGTCTTCAGAGTCAGCGCTGCTTACAGAGCTGCTGCTGGAGGAGGCACTAGAGACAGAAGAAACGCTGCTCATGCTCAGGGACCTGGAAAGAACCAACAGCCTATTACAGTCATGAATGCAACAAGAACCAGGCAGCGATTAGGCAGACACCTTTGTCTCAATTTCCCTGCATGGCTGGGATGTCAGAAAGCTGCTAAGGCAGGCATTAACCAGGAAGAGACAAAAGCCATGCCTCCTGGGGTGCAGATGATATAAGAAATCCCAAACATATTAGATGCAAACCTAGAAAGTACTGTTTATTTATAAACAGAATTAAGGCAATATGTTAACAGGTCACTGTTTCCCCAGGTAAACAAAACGTGAAAGCAGGGTGTGTGCTATTATGTACAGGTCAGTGTTATGGCTCAGGTGAAGGGTTCTCTGGCAATGTTTTTGTTGTTTGGCACACATTTATTTATGGAGGCTTTAAAGCCCAGGAGTCCTACAGCCCACAACTCCTGCCCAGCTCCCTAGGGCACAGGAGAGCCCAGATGCCTGTTTTGAGGATGCATAAACAGTCATGACTGATAAGGACAGGGGAGATGCTTCTAAGATGGTTATCTTCTAATAGTGCATATAAGATAGCTATCTTCTCATGGATTCAGAACCTTAGAAGTGTCAATCATTATATTAAGGAAGACTTTCTACTTAGAAATGTAACAGACAAAAATACAGGGCTATGTATCAGACTTCCCTTCAGGGACATACCACCACCACCACAGCTTTGCTATACTGAAGTGGCTCCAACAACCTCAGCTACCTGGGGCTGCCACCACCATGGGGGACCAGGCATACATTAACTGCATGAATATTCAGGCAGCCTCTCTAGCAGGTTCTGCAGGCCACACTGACTTCTGTGCTCCAGAGACTGCCCTGCCAGCAAGGTCCAAGCTCACTCACTGGAAGCTGGCTTGGGAATGACTGAACAGGCTGTGGCAGTTTCAGCACAGAGCCCTGGAAGGAGCTGCAAAGTCTCTACCTGATGGAGACAGTAGCAGCTTTCCAGTACCTAAAGGGGCTACAAGAAACCTGGAGAGGGACTTTTGACAAGGGCAGGTAGTGACAGGACAAGGGAGAATGGTTTTGAACTGACAGAGGGGAGACTGAGATGAGCTCTTAGGCAGAAGTTCTTCCCTGTGAGGGTGCTGAGGTGCTGGGCACAGGGTGCCCAGAGAAGCTGTGCCTGCCCTATCCCTAGCAGTGTTCAAGGCCAGCTTGGAAGGGGCTTGGAGCAACCTGGTCTAGTGGAAGGTGTCCTGCTTGTGGCAGGGGGTTGGAACTGGATGAGCTTTAAGGTCCCTTCCAACCCAAACCATTCAACCATCAAAAGACTATGACTGCTTCAACAGTGACTGAATGATCCCAAAACTCCTTCTCCAGGAAAGGTTGTGACAGCAGATCTGGTTTGGGCATACACTATATTTTGCTCTTTCCCACACCAGAAAAAGCAGCAAGCATAGCTCCAGTGCCATGCAAGGAACACATGAATTAAGTTTTCCCCATCTTCTTCTCTCAAGCCCAGGGAAGTACAGAGCCAGCATGCCTGAGCACTCTCCAAACCTCTTGCATCACCCCTGCCCGATCTGATGAATCATAGAATCATAGAATAGTTAGGGTTGGAAAGGACCTTAAGATCATCAAGTTCCAACCCCCCTGCCATGGGCAGGGACACCTCGCTCTAAACCATATCACCCAAGGCCTCATCCAATGCGACAAGGATGTAATAAACAAGTTTGTATTTCTGTAAAATAATGCAGATGTTAAACCTTGGAGCTTCACAGAGTTCAGATATGTGAACTACTGCTGGTCAGAGCCAAAGTCTGACTTAATCCACTAGTTTTACACTACAGGTCTACTGTATTACAGGGCTGATGCCAACCTCATGAAGTTTAACCATACCAAGTGCAATGTCTTACACCTGGGTCGGAGCAATCCCAGACACAGCTACAGGCTGGGCAGAGAAGAGATTCAGAGCAGCCCTGCGGAGGAGGGCTTGGGGGTGCTGGTCGATGAGAAAATGAACATGAGCCAATAGTGTGCACTTGCAGCCCAGAAAGCCAACTGTATCCTGGACTGCATCAAAAGGAGTGTGACCAGCAGGTCGAAGGAGGTGATCCTGCCCCTTTATTCTGCTCTCGTGAGACCTCACTTGGAGTATTGTGTGCAGTTCTGGTGTCCTCAACATAAAAAAAACATGGATCTGTTGGAACAAGTCCAGAGGAGGGCCACGAGGATGATCAGGGGACTGGAGCACCTCCCATATGAAGATCGGCTGAGAAAGTTGGGACTGTTCAGCCTGGAGAAGAGAAGGCTGCATGGAGACCTCATAGCAGCCTTCCAGTATCTGAAGGGGGCCTATAGGGATGCTGGAAATGGACTCTTCATTAGGGACTGTAGTAATAGGACAAGGGGTAATGGGTTAAAACTTAAACAGGGGAAATTTAGATTGGATATAAGGAGGAAATTCTTTCCTGTTAGGGTGGTGAGGCACTGGAATAGGTTGCCCAAGGAGGTTGTGAATGCTCCATCCCTGGCAGTGTTCAAGGCCAGGCTGGACGAGGCCTTGGGCGATATGGTTTAGAGTGAGATGTCCCTGCCCATGGCAGGGGGGTTGGAACATGATGATCTTAAGGTCCTTTCCAATCCTAACTATTCTATGATTCTATGATTCTATGAAGTGTGTTTCAAGGCTGCCTGTGAGTTTTCAGGGATTTCTGCATGTGAACAGGTGCAAAATAGCTGATGAAGGACTTGAAAGAGGTTTGTTTAATTACTCTTTACTGGAGGGAGTTACCTGTTTACAAATCCCACAGACTAACAAACAGCCATATAACTATTCACTTGCAGCTAAACACAAAGGGAACTGGCCATGCAACTTTGCCAGCAAAGTAAAATTATCATTAACTGGGCCTTTTAGGTATTTTTTGACCTACTTCTCCCGACAGGCCAAGCATCTTCCCTAAGGACATTCAGTAACCAGAGGTAGTTGAGGTTCAGAAGAGCAAAGCTCTGTAGCCTGAAACTGTTAACTTCTAAATAAATTAGGATGTGGTCATAGAGAAATATTTTAGTCATAATTTAGGTAAGAATAGACAGTCCGGCACACAGATTATTTCCTTGAATAAGCCACAAGGACACTACCAATGTCATACTACTGTCATGGGGGTGTTGGTCGATGAGAAAATGAACATGAGCCGGCAGTGTGCGCTTGCAGCCCAGAAAGCCAACCGGATCCTGGACTGCATCAATAGAAGCGTGACCAGCAGGTCGAAGGTGATCCTGCCCCTCTACTCTGCTCTCATGAGACCTCACTTGGAGTATTGTGTGCAGTTCTGGTGTCCTCAACATAAAAAGGACATGGAACTGTTGGAACAAGTCCAGAGGAGGGCCACGAGGATGATCAGGGGACTGGAGCACCTCTCATATGAAGACAGGCTGAGAAAGTTGGGGCTGTTCAGCCTGGAGAAAAGAAGGCTGCATGGAGACCTCATAGCAGCCTTCCAGTATCTGAAGGGGGGCTATAGCGATGCTGGAAATGGACTCTTCATTAGGGACTGTAGTGATAGGACAAGGGGTAACAGGTTAAAACTTATACAGGGGAAGTTTAGATTGGATATAAGGAAGAAATTCTTTACTGTGAGGGTGGTGAGGCACTGGAATGGGTTGCCCAGGTAAGTTATGAATGCTGCATCCCTGGCAATGTTCAAGGCCAGGTTGGATGAAGCCTTGGGTGGCATGGTTTAGTGTGAGGTGTCCCTGCCCATGGCAGGGGGGTTGGAACTTGATGATCTTAAGGTCCTTTCCAACCCTAACTATTCTATGATTCTATGAATCAGGACTTGGGATTTATAACATCGCACAATCTTGTTTCACATCCTAGGCACCTAGCTACAATTTCTGATACTTGAAGCTACAGAGAGCTTTTGCTGTGAAAACCACAACAGTGAACAATAGTTATAATCTCCCCCTTCTTCAACAAAAGTTATGAAGGTTCAAGGCTGTACCTGGACTTCCTGGATCCAGATGGAGAGTGGGAGACTGATGCAGATGATGACCTGGAATGAGATCTGGAGAGAGACTGAGACAAGGACCTAGATCGGGAACTGGAACCACTGTAGCTGCTGGCACTGCCACTGATGCTGCTGCTGATGGTCTGCCTGCAAGACAGCAAATGACATCGTCACCTCGCTACACTGTTGTGAAACAGAGGTGGAAGAAACTGCTGAGGGATAGTTTGAGCATGATGCTGTTGTCCTGTATTGCATCCAACATTGGTGCTTTGTAAATGTAATTGTTTCAAATGTTCTTCTCAACCTTGTGTTTGCAGTCCTGAGGAAGCATCTGTTTTCTGAACAGTAGGTGTTTTATGCAAGACTGGATAATGTTAATGAAAGCCAGGCAAAGAATGAGCTCAAGCAACTTAATCCTGTACTGATACCAGGAGCAAATGCTTCTTACTGAGAGGAATCGCTAACTGCAACTACACAGCAGGAACTACCTTGTATTTCAGGCTCTACAAATAATCATACCCATTTTTTGTGACTAACACACCAGTACTAATATAAATAGAATTTTTGTCATTTGCACAGCAGGGAGATTAGAGTGGGGTTTGTGTGGGTATAAGCATGGAAAAAAAAATCCCAAGCCCCAAGACTAGAATAAAGAATAAGGGAAGATGAATAAAGATATCCAAGATTATTATTAGTTAGTTAAAGTAGGTGAAATGGAAACTAGAACTGACAGAATTTCTATGGAAAAGAAACTGCCATGATCTGTTTTCACCTATGGAGACATAACTGCTCAGCCCAGGCCTTTTCACAGTATCACAGTATCACAGTAGGTTAGAGATTGGAAGGGACCTCAAAAGATCATCTAGTCCAATCCCCCTGCCGGAGCAGGAACACCTAGATAAGGTTACACAGGAACGTGTCCAGGCGGGTCTTGAATGTCTCCAAAGAAGGAGATTCCACAACCTCCCTGGGCAGCCTGTTCCAGTGTTCCGTCACCCTCACTGAGAAGAAGTTTCTTCTCAGGTTTAAGTGGAACCTCTTGTGCTCCAATTTGTACCCATTACCCCTTGTCCTTTCATTGTTTGCCACTGAGAAAAGCCTGGCTCCATCCTCCTGACACTCCCCCTTTATATATTTATATACACTAATAAGGTCACCCCTCAATCTCCTCTTCTCCAAACTATAGAGACCCAGCTCCCTCAGTCTTTCCTCATAAGGGAGATGCTCCACTCCCTTAATCATCTTAGTTGCCCTGCGCTGGAGTCTCTCCAGCAGGTCCCTGTCCTTTTTAAACTGAGGGGCCCAGAACTGGACACAATATTCCAGATGAGGTCTCACCAGGGCTGAGTAGAGGGGAAGGAGGACCTCTCTCGACCTACTAACCACCCCCCTTCTAATACAACCCAGGATGCCATTGGCCTTCTTGGCCACAAGGGCACAGTGTCGGCTCATGGTCACCCTGTCGTCCACCAGGACCCCCAGGTCCCTCTCCCCTACACTGCTCTCTAACAGGTCGTTCCCCAGCCTATACTGGAACCTGGGGTTGTTCCTGCCCATATGCAGGACTCTACACTTTCCCTTGTTATATTTCATCAAGTTATTCCCCGCCCAGCTCTCCAGCCTGTCCAGGTCCCTCTGGATGGCAGCACAGCCTTCTGGCGTGTCGGCCACCCCTCCCAGCTTAGTGTCATCAGCAAACTTGCTGATAGTACACTCAATTCCCTCATCTAAATCGTTGATGAATATATTAAATAATACTGGTCCCAGTACCGACCCTTGAGGCACTCCACTAGATACAGGCCTCCAACTAGACTCCGCCCCATAGACTACAACTCTCTGGCTTCTCTCCTTCAGCCAGTTCACAGTCCACCTCACTACCCGATCATCCAGACCACACTTCCTCAATTTAGCCGCAAGGATGCTGTGGGAGACCGTGTCAAACGCTTTGCTGAAGTCGAGGTAGACCACATCCACCGCTCTACCATCATCCATCCACCGCGTTATTTCCTCATAAAAGGCTACAAGATTGGTCAAGCACGACTTCCCCTTGGTGAAGCCATGTTGACTGCCCCTCATAACCCTCTTATCCTTGATATGCCTTAAGATGGCACCAAGGATAAGGTGTTCCATCACTTTCCCAGGAACGGAGGTGAGGCTAACCGGTCTATAGTTACCCGGGTCCTCCTTCTTGCCCTTTTTGAAGACAGGAGTGACATTTGCTTTCCTCCAGTCCTCAGGCACCTCTCCCGTTTCCCAAGACTTGGTAAAGATGATGGAGAGCGGTCTAGCTATGACCTCAGCCAGTTCCCTCAGCACCCGCGGGTGCATCCCATCTGGACCCATGGATTTATGGATATCCAGATTGCTCAACTGGTCTTTAACCCATTCCTCATCAACTAAGGCAGACCGCTCCGTTGACCTATCTTCATCCGGGGTCTCAGCGGTACAGGGCTCTTCAGGACTGCCTCCAGCAGAGTAGACAGAGACAAAGAAGTCATTCAGTAACTCTGCCATCTCTGTATCTTCTGTCACCAGGGCACCCGTCCCGTTCATCAGCGGGCCTACATTGCCTCTGGTGTTAGTTTTACCTGCCATGTATTTGAAAAAGCTCTTTCTGCTGTCCTTGACCCCTCTCGCCAGCTTTAATTCCAAGGAGGCCTTAGCCATCCTAGCAGCTTTCCTACATCCTCTAACAGAAGCCTTACATTCTTCCCAAGTGGCCAGCCCTTCTTTCCATGACCTGTAAACTCTCCTCTTCCACTTGAGCATACCGAGCAATTCCCTATTTAACCACGGAGGTCTCCTGACCCTCTTCCTCGACTACCTACGTGTCGGGATGCTCCGATCTTGAGCTCGGAAAAAGCAGTCCTTGAACGTCAACCAACTATCTTGGGCCCCTTTCCCTTCAAGCAGCCTAGCCCACTGGATTTCCCCTAGCAATCGCTTGAAGAGGCCAAAGTTTGCCCTGCTAAAGTCCAGGGTTGCGATTCTACTTGCTATTCTACTGACCCTACCAGACAAGATCCTGAATTCTACCATCTCGTGGTCGCTGCAACCAAGGCAGCCCTCAACCTTCACTCCTTTAACCAGACCCTCCTTGTTAGTGAGGATGAGATCCAGCAGCGCACCTCTCCTGGTTGGCTCATCCACCATTTGCATGAGGAAGTTATCATCCATACACTGGAGGAACCTCCTGGACTGCGGCTGGGTTGCCGAGTAGTCCTTCCAGCAAACATCAGGGAAGTTAAAATCCCCCACGACGACCACGGCCTGTGACCGTGAGGCCGCTGTCAGCTGCCTGTAGAAGGCCTCGCCAACTTCCTCACCCTGATCCAGTGGCCTGTAACAGGCCCCCACAACAGTATCACCCCTGCCAGCCTGCCCTTTAATTCTCACCCACAGACTCTCGACTCGCTCATCATCTGTCCCCGGACAGAACTCAACGCATTGTAGCTGCTCTCGCACGTAAAGAGCAACCCCACCACCCCGCCTGGCTGGCCTGTCTTTCCTGAAAAGGACATAGCCCTCCATGACTATATTCCAGTCATGTGAGCTGTCCCACCACGTCTCTGTAATTGCCACCAGATCATAATCTCCCGACTTAACACAGGTTTCCAGCTCCTCCTGCTTATTTCCCATGCTGCGCGCATTGGCGTACAGACATTTCAGGGAGCGAGCCGAGCACACCGATTTCACCCTAGGATTACAGGAGGCCTCCCAGTCTTCATCAATTCCGGAGCGCTGTCCCACTGAGGCAAGCCGAGCTACATCCCCATCCCCCTTCAAATCTAGTTTAAAGCTCTCCAAATGAGCCCCGCTAATTCGTGCCCCAGCATCCTTTTACCTCTGTGCGATAAACCTTTCCCACATGCCAACGTCCAGGCTTTAGCTACTGCAAAGAAATAGGAGATGTAACCTCATGCAAAATTAAGAACTGACTCAGAATGCTTCTGAAAACCTGAGCAGAAACCATACTTCCAGCCATCTTCAAAACACACTGACAAAAAGTATCATTCAATGATTCATGAAAAGTATATATGCCTGACTGCAGGCATAAAGTGTTCTCAGTCTCCTTGTGTGCCCATAAACCAGGCATTTCTAGTAAATACCCCTCTTATGCACCAAACTGCTGTTTCCATAGACTAGACACAAAGCCACCATACTGCCATTTCAAAACTTCTAGTGTAAGAAGGATGTGTGATGAGTTTCAGCTGTGCTTAGCTGGCTCCCTGTCCTTCAAGAACAGGCAATGCTACCTGCATTTATCCTGTTAAGATTTTTAAATTAGGTACAATGGATTAAGCCTGATAAACATTTAAATACAGATAATTGCTCCTTGTTTGAAAACATTTCAAATGCAAAGGGAGGAGAAAGGTGACTAGTTAGAAGACAAGCAGAATGGGATACTTGAAGCATTCAAACTAGTCACACAGGATGAAACCAAGAAGAGAAAGCAGAGCAGGGGAGCCAACAAGTTGTGTATGGGGGACAGTGAAAGCAGTGGAATTTTTCTTCCCCTCCTCCAGTGGTTCTACTGAGTGCTGATGAATCAGCTCCCAGGACCACACAGAAATACCCCCTGCACACTGGTACATGTTTAGAGTAAACAGGGTCCAAACCCATCACCACAAACCTCAACACTCCAATATGTCAGATCTGCTCTCTGGACCAAAGCCTCTACAACCAGTGGCTCTCAAATATGCCTTTTTTTGCACTGCAGACTCTGCTTTTTAACACATTTAATGTATTCCACCTACTTCATCCCCCATCCAGCCTTCAGAGACAGGAGCCACTTGCTGTGGCAAAGTCACATTCACCCCCAACTCTTTCCCTCTCTTCCTGTTTCCTTCCTGCCCCAGGAAACAGATTTCTCCTTTAATACTGAAGAGCCCTTGTAGTCAGGACTCCTGAGAGAACCCCAGGATTTGCTCTATCTGTTGGGAGATAAAGGCTCACTCCACCCCACAGCTTTCTTACCTCCTGGGTGGAGTCCTTGTCTGACGTTCCTTCCTTCTTGCCTCTGGATTATCCCCTGGTTTGGCTGGCTCAGGTGCAGCTGTTGCAATTTTAGTGAGTGGCTGAGGGACTGGAAGGGCAGCTAGTTTCTTCACAGACTTTTCACTACAAAAAGGAAGATTTTCATGTGTGATCAAAATTGGTAGGTACAGACCACAAACATTCTCAAAAAATGATGAAATGCACTCATGTTTGTTGATGACTGATTGTTATATAGGTTACTGTAGCTACAGACACTTGCTGTTTCACCAAACCACACTCAATACGGATTCCCCTAAAGGGATCAATTTCCCATATTCTAAATCAAGTCACATTTTCAGACATAAGTTACTTTACAACAACCAATTTTGGAGACATTCGACTTGTAAATTAACTACTGAAGTAGACTATGTGGAATCACTGTTTCTTATCCATTTGACTCTGTGCATTTTTATCCAAAACACATACACCTACTTAAAATCTGCCAGTCAGGCTTCAGAATCAAATACACATAGTTTATGCAGAAATCCTTTTTCATTCCATCACACAGATCAGGGTACAAAAGAGGACATATGTGCAGATGTCCCTTGGACCCATCCTTGGCTCATGTTTCCCTGTGTAATGATTGATGGGTAACAGCGTTGCAGAGGACTGCTATACAATGCTTGAGACTATCTAGCACCCACTACGCGAGTAGTGCTTTGGCTCTTTAGCACTGATCACTTCTGGGCTCAGAGCACTCCAACCTCTGGTTACTCCTCAACATCCCAGCACTGATGTCACACCTAGTATTAACTTGGGAGGAGGCAGATGTCTGTATATAAAAATAGAGACTCTTAATTCCTCTTCTTGTGCTTAAGAATATCTGCATTTATTCTCTGCAGAACACAGGATTAAGTGCATGCAATGTTATGTAGTAAAACCAATCCCCATGCTAGTTCAGGCTGCTGGCTGGTGTTATATGTTACCAAACCAGCACTTCAATGTGCGCCAGAAGTGTGTAAAGACATTGCTGCAGGCACAGAGCATCTTGAAAAGGTTGAACCCTCTGAATTGAGAAGGAAAAACAACAAAGGCAGGTCAATAAGGTACAAGAAGTGTGGCAAAGAGGATTGTCCTATCTTCTGGAGAATTCAGGGGGATTCCCATGGTGTAATCTATTTGCAGGTCACCTTGAAAGAGGTGACATCACTACGGTGTTGTCACCTTCCAATGTATCCATAATTTACTATGTATTACAGGAGTTTGTGAAATAGCAACTTCAAGTATTTAAAAGAGCAGGAGCACTGGCATAATCTGCCAAAACCAGTTTCATCCCTACAGTACTGTTTTAATTTGTCACCAATGTTAAAAATAGATCAGGCTGAACCATTTATTTATTCTAAGGCTGTACATTAACTAAAGCCACAGTAGAGGAATGAATTAAACTTTCTTATAGCTCCTGCATAAACGTATCTGCACACACAGAGTGTTTAAATAATAAATCATGCATGTGTTTAAACACTCATGTATACATATAATACTTAAGGATACTTGTACAGTTGGATTTAATAAGTAAAAGTGTAATCTTTTAATTAAATATCTAAAGCTAAGCACTCTTCTATGCAGGTCATTTTGCATCCTCCATTTCTTCCTTAAACTGTCAGCCAGGTCAGAAGGGTTTGACTCAGGGACTGGGCTCCTGTTTGGAGCCTCTTCTACACTGCATTATCAGAATGGAGATGAAGCCTTACCCCTTCTCAGCAGGTGGTAACAGCACCCCTTTAGACTTCGCAACTGGCTTGTGTGGAGATGGTGTTGGAGAAGGAGAGGGTGAAGATGAGAAGGACCGTGATCTAGAAAGGAAGAACACATTGCTCAGTCCCTGGGTCTGCAGATGGCTTTTTCTGGCTTTCGGTGCACTTAGCCATCACCCCCTCCTTTGGCTAGAGACTGCATCCCAGGACTAGTTCTTGTGGGTCTGAGCTTATCCTAGTTTTATATTTCGATTCTGTTAAACAAAACTAACTTCTGTCACCAGAACAGTGGTAAAAGTAGAAAACAAAAGGAAAAAATAGGGTTGGCTGCAAGAGAGGCACTTTCAGGTATTCCAAACCAACACGAGGCTTTCTCCATACTCTCTGTATTCTCTCCTTAGGTAGAAATAAGGGGAATGTAAGTAGGATTTTGACTTGCAAGTTCAGCATGATTTGTTTCAACCTGCTTTATGTTCCTGTAACTCCATGTACAGTTTATCCTTTAAACAGCAGCAGCAAAAAAAAGCCAAAACCAAAACCAAACTTGGAAGAAAGACACACACACACACACAAAAAAAATACCGGATATCTGTAATTTCTGGAACACAAGGAATCAAGTGGAGTGTATCAAAGTCAACAGATCAAAGGGCAAAGGCTGTTTCCTAAGATCAGGACTGACCAAAGAGGCAAGCCACTTACATAGCTCACCAGATTCTGGCATTCAAGTGATTCACCTCACCATCAAGGCTAGAAGTACCACCACCAAGGCTGGAAGTACCCTTGTTGCAGCCTAGTACTTCAGAAAGCTCGGTAACTTGCCTTCTGAAGAACAGTTGGGCACTTGGGTGTTCCTCACTCTCCTGCCTTCCCACAGAGGCATCTAACTGAAGCGTGTCATCTCTGTCTGGTGCTGTCCTGCCAAGGAACAGAGCCTGGAATGGGGTGGATGGGGGAAGGTCAGTCTGCTCCCCAGAAACACATTTGTGCTTTTGTCGAGATCAACTCCCACCTGAGCCTTTCCCAGGAGAAACCACATCTCCAGAAGCGACACTGTGTACTCCCATCAACTGTGTGATCCACTCTGGATATGTGTGTGATTTCAGATCTGAAGAGGTGCCTATCTAAGGAGCCAGTTCTCCTACTATGCATATCCCAGACTTGGGAAACTGTCTGCAAGGGCAAGGAAGTGGCAGAGTAATAAACATGCCTCTGTTTGATCAGCATGGGACACTGAAGTACTACTTTGAAGTGTCAGGACTATCACAAGACACAACTGGTTTAATAAATAAATGTGATTTGCCTCTTTAAGTAGAAATTCCAGTACAATAGAAAAGAGATGCTGGTAACTTCTTCTAATTATAAAATGCAAATGAGGGAAACATTCATCTCCGCCTGGTAACCAAACACAAAATAATAGAGGCTAAAGCCCTTCCCCCCCCCAACCACCACATCAGCACAGAAAGCTGAGCTGATGGTGCTACCAAGAGTTATGGAATTGTCAGAAAGTCAAAATTTGCTTTTGAAATTGTTCATGCCCATGGGGTCATATGGAAAGAAAGGGGATTGTTAATCTCTTGTGGCCCCCTATAAAATATGGACAAATAATGCAGGAACCTTGTTTACAAAATAATTCTTACCATGCTAAGAGACCCCTACATGGAACAACAAAGGCAGTTGTCCAGGAGACTACTGGCAAGTGAACTTCACAGAATTGCCACAGCACAATGGGCTCAGGTATATGTATATATTGGTACTAATAGATATGTTTTCTGGTTGGCCGGAGACTTTCCCCTGTCACACCAATATGGACTGTGAAGTAGTGCTGCAAAATGGGATGACTCTCGATTTATTATTTGCCTCTCAAGGCAGTGTTTATACAGTTATAAATACAAATTGTTGCACATACATAGACCAGAGTGGAAGAATATCCACAGATCTATCCGAAATCTGAAGCAGACAAAGATCTTGCATCAGGCCGCTAGAGATGATACCTCCTGAAGATTTGAAGAATTATGGCATGGACTTACTTCTTAGCTACCAATTTTGATATTGTTAAAAAACTTGTTTGTGATCATTTTAGTAATAACTTGTGTCTGTATCCTTGCATGTATCATGATTCAATTTTGTAGTTGCTGGTCACAATGGTATATTACAATCAAATATGGGTATAGGGTATAGAATGAGACTTACAGGATATATGTATATCCTATAAGTTTCAAAAGGGGGAAATGTAGGCTTAAATTATAGGTTTAAACTAACAACAGTGTGTGTGGCTTTAAACTAACATAGTAAAATACAGAAAATTGTTCTAACTTGCTAACACAATGGGGAGTAAGGAATGTACAGCTGATGGGGGAAGGAACATCATGGGACTGATAACAAGTAAGAAGACAGTAAATAAGACCAAGGATGCTAACCTTCAAGATAACATTGAGACTGGAACAGAACAAAAGCAAGGACATACCACAGCTAACTTGGCACTAGGACCGTGTGAACGTGCATTCAGTAAACACAGCAAGGAAGACTATCCTTGACCACCAGAGACCTCCACTAAGCAAGAAAGCACATGCATAATTAGAATGCAAATATTATAATTAGTTCATGGAAATCTCATGAATGTGTAAATCATCTCCTGGAAAATCTGTAAATATGCATGAGTATGCTAAATATATAGCTGCTGCTGGCAAGTAACAAGTGCGCTCACCTTTGCAAAATGATGTGTGTGTGCCCAGCGCTGCAATAAAGAATGCTTCTTTCTAAAACTCCAAATTGAATCAGAGAGTTTCTCCAACCGACTTTTACAGTAACAAGCCAGGCTCCTACAACTGCTCAGCTACCACAGGCATAGGAAACAGCCCAGCCACAACAGCACAGTATTCGTGGGTGGGAACAATGGGGATAGAAGGGGGTGGCTAACATACCTTCTTTATTCAACAACCAAACCAGCAGGTTGTCTTGCAGTTTATCATATTTCCCTCACTCAGGAAAGTAGTTTGAATGTTTTATTTCAAGAGTTAGCTATTTGCTTTTAAGTAGCAGCAAAAAGCAGCTGTTAGCAAGTGTTTGGAAAAGAGTATACCATTATTTTCACATCCGAGGAACCATTACCTGGACCTGCTGCCTGAGAAAGAGCTGTGTCTTGAAGAGTGACTAGAGTAAGAGCTATAAGAAGATGATCTGGAATGAGATCGCGAGGAACCTGAACCAGAATAGGTGGATGAACGAGAAGAGGACCTGAAAGAAACATATTAAAATTAAACATGTCTCAAGAAGTCCTCTGAGCCCAAGGTCTTGTTTCCAGTGCACTTTCCAAGTTCTCAAACACTGCTCCAAAAACTACCTGCCTTCTCCACAGTGACCTATCAGGACTACAGCCTCTCCTCCATCCTTTCTTTTAGAGAGGATCCTGTTGTTGCTACCCCTTTTGTGCCCTTGAATAAGCCTCCCCTCCTTTAGCTACTGATTTTCTATCCCTTTTCAGGAACTCCTTCCACACATCCTCATGCCTTTACACCAGACGATCCCCTGGTAGGTCAGGTCACACAGGAGATAACAGAAAACTCTCAGGTGCAGTGATCCCAGCAAGAAAAAGCTATCTACTTCAGGAGGACTTTGGTTTTTTAGATCAATATCTTCAATTCAGCATGCTCCTCATTCCTTTCTTATACTTCCTCCTTCCTCCTTCTTCCTTCCTCCTTCCTCCCCCCTCCCCCCCCCCCCCCCCCCGGAGCTTCAAGTTCAAGCATTTAAAGAAAACTCCCCTAGATTCAGGGTGCTTCTTTCTGAAAGGTGTTTTTTCATTGAGCTCATACCTCTTGGGTTTCTGAGCTCCACTGCAGCCCTCTAAAGCTGTGCTGAGCCTCCACAAACCTAGTTTTTCCCCAGTAGCATCAGCATGCTCTTCCTGGAGTGGGCCCACCTCATACCTCCAATACTCCTAGAGCAAATAGGCTCCAATGTTTACAGTTTCCAGCTCTTTCCACTCTTATTAAGGTCAGTTGTCATCCAGATGAGTTACTAATCATCTGGGTTGCAACCAGGTCTAATTTACCTGAAGAGTGACTTTTCCACGGACCTTTCTTAGTCTTCAACAGATCACAGCACAGCACCCACAGTTACATACCCCCTTTGACTTCCATCTCACTACCTGTATCTACCTGTATTCTGGTCTCCATAGCTGTTACTGAGCAGCAAGTCTTACACTGCTTTCCCAAACATCTCAATATCTTCCACTGACAAGAAAGCGTCATGTCGCATTCCCTGACACACTAACATGAGTCAGATGTGACATGCTCTTTTCCTTCACTCACCTTGAAGAGCCAGAAGCAGATGCTGAAGAAGCAGAGGTTTTTCGGCACCTGTGCACATGGCTGGGAGAGACAGACACACCAAGCTTCTTTTTGGGAGACTTGGATCGGCGCCAGGGGTCCTTCCATTCATCTGCTCTCTTGGACTGAGTGGTGGTAAGTGTGGTTGCCTCCTTCTCCTTCTTTGGTGTCTCAGGTTGACGGCTGGAAAGCAAAGAGAAGTAGCTAGGATTGATTATTTATTTATTTATTTAAATATAGTAAGGCTAATAGAAACACAGAACCAGGAAAACATCTCAGAATTCAGGCCTTTATACCAGTACTAGCTCTTAACCTCCACTGCAGAATATTCAGCATCATTTTGGGGTGATGAAGTGTTAGAGCAGCTATCATGCTGCAAATCAGTGACTGCAAGCCTATCAAAACAACACTACCTGTGAGTTTTGTCAACTACTTTGTTGTACTGACCAAGCCAGCTGATTTCAACTTTGGCTTTTGGCCTCCAAGGAGTGAGCACAAGAGGGAAGGGAACAGGAAATCTGATTCTCCCTACACTTATGCCAAGTAGTTAGAGCTGGAGCAATCCAAACCTGGTAGGCAGCTACCAGTGCAATGAAAATACTAACCAGAGCTAGACTAAGGACAGACCTTGAGTGTGCATCTGATACAGCAAACTTCTGGAAACAACCAGCAGGCACTAAGAGATTTGGCCTGAATCACTCTTCTACAGTTCCCTTATCAGAAAATAAGTGAACCTGTGTCACAAGCCTTACCACAGTCAAGACACATTGATCTGTTTTTACTCTTACAAAAGGAACAGTTACCTCATCAACTAAGCATAAAGCAGTTCATAATGAGTGTTTTATCACCATATTATTCTCTATGTGCTTACAAGCACCACTGAACATGTGTTCTCCTGTTGATAACCATGAGGATGTGACTAGTCAGGCTAAATACCCTCCTTCTCCTCCCTTCCCTTTAAAGGGCTCTACTTGCATTTCCCTTTTTGTTTTGGTTCTCTGGGCTTCCCTTCTCCCCTACAACCCTCTGAAAATAATTCAGGGCTAACTTTTCAGCATCTGCACCAGATACTTTCTTAATTATTCCAGGATAAATTAGTTTCTTCAGACCTAGACTTTATTACCTCTCTTATCTATGGATGATTTAACTTGGGATTTTTCCTTACCCTCACTCTAACCTGTACAATTACCTGTCTGTTCAGTTACCAGCTTATAACCTTCCCCCTTGGGTTTTAGGCAAACTTTGTGCTAGCTTAAAGGTTTATGAAGCCTGCTGTGCTCATCAAATTACCAGTAATGATGCCTTTATTCCTTTTCTCAAAATAATGAGCTCGCTTGCTCTGAGAATTTGGGGGAGGAAATCGCTGGGTTCAGCCAGTACCACAGGACTGAAGCAACCACTCCCCATTCAACTTCCCTTACCTTTTGAGATAAAAAAGCAACCTCCAAGTTTTATAATAATCCTATGGACTGAGTTTCTTGCCACAACACTTTTTCAACAGACAAGAGGATAATTAAAGCTCTTCATTAGGAGCCCTTTGAAGGCTTCACTAGTCACTAAGAAGTTTCATCTGCTCCTCACTCAGCAGTAATAAAACACAGAACTCCTATGGCCTCTCACCTCTTCCAGAACCTGTACATGCTGACTTTAAAGACTGGTGCAGTATCCTACTCTTTTCCTGTCTTTTCAGATATAACTACAGCAATTTTACAATTTGTCCCAGATCTATCCTGGTATATACAGAATTTTATGGAAGAAGAAACTCTTCTTTGACATTCACCCATCCCACAAATCTCATTCCAGCTTCAGAAGAGGACACTTATGTATTAGCACACAAAATTGCTGACTGCCTAGTAAGAAAGTCCCAAGCAGGGTTATGGCTCAGCATTATTCACCAGCATCTTCACTCAGCCTGATCATCCTTTCCAGCTGTCATGGTTTAAGACCAGATGGCAACCCAGAATCACACAGCCGCTAGCACACTCCCCCCCCTTCCGAAGGAATGGGGAGGAGAATCGAAAGAATTTAATTCCCAAGGGTTGATATAAGAACAGTCCAGTAACTAAGGTATGACACAAAACCACTACTGCTGCCACCGATAATAATAATGATAAGGGAAATAACAAGGGAAGAGAATACAACTGCTCACGACCCGCCGACTGATACACAGCCCGACCGAAGCAGTGATCTAGCCCTTCCTGGGTAACTGCCCCCAGTTTCTGTACTGAGCATGACATGCTGTGGTACGGAATACCTCTTTGGCTAGTTTGGGTCAGGTGTCCTGTCTCTGCTTCCTCCCGGCTTCCCCTCCTCCCTGGCAGAGCATAAGACTCAGAAAGTCCTTGATCAGAGTAAACATAACTTAGCAACAACTAAAAACATTGGTGTTATCAGTGTTGTTCCCAGGCTGAAAGCCAAAAACACAACACTGCACCAGCTACTGAGAAGGAGAAAAATGACTGCTACTGCTGAACCCAGGACACCAGCACTGCTCTAATGCATGCTATTTAACACAGCACGTTATTTGCAGTGGACTGGTCTAGTTTTCCATATTACAGCGACAATTATATCTGAGTATCTAATCATGGAGGAAGACCATGACTCTGAATATGGGGTTGGGACAGACTGGACTTATTATTTATACTCTGATAATACTAAGTAGTTGTGGCCAGGGTCAAGATCTTGTTCCAGCAGATGTAGTACAAACTCATTTTGAAGCCATCTTGACCTCTGGAGTATCACCAAAGCAGCTAAGTGCAAAGCAGGAGGAAAAAGAAGGTTGAGAACATCCAACATAGAATCACAGTATCACAGAACGGTTTGGGTTGGAAGGGACCTTAAAGTCCATCCAGTTCCAACCCCCTGCCACAGGTAGGGACACTTTCCACTAGAGCAGGTTGCTCCAAGCCCCGTCCAGCCTGGCCTTGACCACTACCAGGGATAGGACAGCCATAGCTTCTCCAGGATAGATAGCAGCAGAAAGGAGAAAGAGCACACCATGCAAGGATGCTGTCGTGGTTTAACCCCAGCCAGACAACTTGTGCACTTACTCCCAGTGAGTGGTGCCAGGCTGGAAGCAATCGAGGCCCACGTTAGTCCCCCCCCTTCCCCAGGGGCTGCCGCCCCCTTCCCCGCTCCCAGAGGGATGGGGAGGAGAATCGAAAGAATGCAACTCCCTGTCCTTCCGGGTAACTCCCCTGTCCTTCCGGGTAACTCCCAGTTCCCCCTCTTGGCTCAGTTTGGGTCAGGTGTCCTGTCTCTGCTTCCTCCCGGCTTCCCCTCCTCCCTGGCAGAGCATGAGGCTCGCAAAGTCCTTGGCCAAACCAAAACATCATTTTTATCAGCTTTGTTCCCAGCCCGAAAGTCAAAACACAGCACTGCACCAGCTACCAAGAAAGAGAAAAAATGACTGCTAGTGCTAAACCCAGGACATTATCCACCCCTTATTCCATACCATTCACGTCATGCTCAGATCCCGCATTTTCAATATACCATCACTCTGATCTCAGTGCACTTCTATCTTAGTGCATAGACTAATCCTTATAAAGCTGCTGAGTCCATCTGGTCCATGATGTCAGGCTCCATCTCTTGTAACAGTCTTTCAGAACAGGAGAGGCTGCGTGCACTATTGGGTCGTTGCCTGCTGATGCTGATCGTTCCCTTATTGTAGAATTTGTCTGGTTCTATCAAAGTTCATTCTCTGTTGGGATGATGGTTGAAGGGAAGTCAGGGCTAGTCACTGGTGGCCTTAAGACATCTGGTTGATGGGCTATTAAAGTATTACACAGCAGGCAACAACATACAATTAAGTTCATTGGCTGTTTTCCCCTAAAATTAAATCCCCTTGAGGTATACATCGAACTTCCCCATCTTCCCGCATTACCCACCAAGTGTATCCAGGTCCCTGAGCAAAAGCAATCCCACGAGTGGGTTTGCCTTTACTTGAAGCAGGAATAACCCTAACTGTCTTCCCCAGCTAATTCTTCATATGCACCACAGGAACTTTGCCCCCCTCTACAATACGTAAAAGTTCTGATGGGGCTGGGGCAGCCCTGTTGGCAGATCTTCTGGTGTTGACCAACCAGGTGGCCTTTGGTAAGTGTGTATCCCAATGCTTGAAAGTTCCCCCACCCATTGCTCTCAGTGTGGTTTTTAACAGCCCATTGTACGTTTCAATTTTCCCAGAGGCTGGTGCATGGTAGGGGATGTGATATACCCACTCAATGCCATGCTCTTTGGCCCAAGTGTCTATAAGGTTATTCCGGAAATGAGTCCCATTGGCTGACTCAATTCTCTCTGGGGTGCCGTGTCGCCACAAAATGCGTTTCTCAAGGCCCATGATAGTGTTCCGGGCAGTGGCATGGAGCACAGCGTACGTTTCCAGCCATCCGGTGGTTGCTTCCACCATGGTAAGCACATGGCGCTTACCTTGGCGGGTTGGTGGCCGTGTGATATAGTCAATCTGCCAGGCCTCCCCATATTTATACTTCAGCCATCGTCCTCCATACCAAAGAGGTTTTAACCCTTTGGCTTGTTTAATTGCAGCACATGTTTCACACTCATGAATAACCTGGGCAATAGTGTCCACTGTTAAGTCCACCCCTCGATCACGGGCCCATCTATATGTTGCATCTCTGCCCTGATGGCCTGAAGTGTCATGGGCCCACCGGGCCAAAAATAATTCACTTTTATGTTGCCAATCTAAGTCCATCTGAGCCACTTCAATCTTAGCAGCTTTATCCACTTGTTGGTTGTTCTGGTGTTCCTCAGTGGCCCGACTCTTGGGTACATGGGCATCTACATGACGTACCTTCACCACCAGGTTTTGCACCCGGGCAGCAATATCTTTCCACAGTGCAGCAGCCCAGATAGGTTTACCTCTACGTTGCCAGTTGCTCTGCTTCCATTGCTGCAACCACCCCCACAGGGCATTTGCCACCATCCATGAGTCAGTATAGAGATAAAGTACTGGCCACTTTTCTCGTTCAGCAATGTCCAGGGCCAGCTGGATGGCTTTCACCTCAGCAAACTGACTCGATTCACCCTCTCCTTCAGCAGTTTCTGCAACTTGTCGTCGAGGATTCCATACAGCTGCCTTCCATCTCCGATGTTTTCCCACAATACGGCAGGACCCATCAGTAAACAAGGCATACTGCTTTTCACTTTCTGACAGCTGATTATAT